AGCTGATATGTCGAGTACAGCCAAATGCTGAAAGAACCCCGATTCTTGCTGCTTCGGTAGCGTCAAGAAGATGTTGTCACCGTCGCCGGGAAAAATCCTACACTCCGAGGGCTGCACCCAGTAGTCGGTATAATTCTGCTTGTGACTCTAAAGCAGTGCGAAAATACACTCGCAACTCACAAAGGCAATTTTCATACAATTGTGCACTGACCACTGCGTGAAGAACAGACCGTAAAGTAGCCCATGTTCTGCACCCTGTTTGCCCACGTGATGAGTGCGAATTCTTCACCTCTCACCGACCGCTTCAGCCATGATAGTCGATTGGCGTAATAGCGGTCTCTGAACGGTTCATTGAACTGATTTGAAACGACGTGAATTCATAATGGCAACTCACAGCAAGTTTTCGACCTCCTTTGGAGGGGAAATTGGCACGGTTTTGTTCGAAGCGCGGCTCCAAATATTTACTCGCACTTCCGGTATGGGCGTGTTGACCTTCGGGTAGGAGATGTTAATGATTTCTGGATATACTGCCGGAGGTTCTGGGTAGTAAGTCATGGAAATATTCTGCACCCTAGTGTCATTGATTGTCAGGTATGCCAGATGACCGCCGGAATGCGACCACCACATTGCGCTGTCTGATTCCAGAACCTCCTCTACAATAAGTATTGATATCGGAATGAATTTTAACCACTTCTCGCTAGCAGCGAATACTCACCTTCATAAACCCAGTCCGGTACTCCGTTGAACACGACTTTCGATCCGGTGTTTGTCAATTTAATTGGCTGGGCAGTTGGAGATGACTGATAAAATATATCATTTTCATAAACAAATGCCTTAATAATAAGCCATATAAATTCTGAGGTTATCTGCACACTAAAATTACAAAATCATTTAAAACAGCACTCGGGCTCCATGAAAATGTGCGAAGTAGCGGGTCTTCCGTTGCTGCGGGTCCAACGCGAACTTTTCTAGAAACGTCCACTGAATGATAGCAAAATGAAAAAGTTTAGAAGCCTCACTTAACGTCGTTGTCCTTCAGCGCAATGACATAATATTCTGAGAGGCTTGAATGCCTAAAGAGCTGCAAAGAAATCTTAGAGTAGAAGTTGCTTCATTTGGTTGTAAGAAGATATTATTTGAAAGATTCATAAGTTGTTCATTTTACAGTATCTGAAACATCAGCCAATCAGTATCGATGATAGCTCATCCTTTCAGGTCGCGGACACAGGCCCATTAGACAGTTTCCTCGAGGTGCTCGATCCTGTGCTAGCGTGTTAGCCTCGATTGATGATAACCTGACTCCGGAGCAAAGTTCGACGAGGCAATTGCTACCACTTCATTTTAGGCCATTTCTGGAGTCTTCAGCTGGTCAGTTCAGCAAGTAATGGCTGTTTCGCCTTTCTTCCTGTCACTCCTTAATCTGCAGAAGTAGCGGCTGTGCATCAAGGCTTTGTCTTCCAACTTCGGTGAGTTATTAGCACATAGCTAACCTCATCTCGTCAGTACCAGTGATGCAAATCTTACCGGTGAGGTGACAACAGAAAGTGCATGACGACGAACAAATGCAGAAAGCAAACAAGGATAATCCGTGTTTCAGATCAGTTAATCCGGATAGTTGATCGGTGTTATTTTGAATCACGTTGCTATGTTCACAGTTCTCTTTCTACCCTAGTGATGTCAATGAATATTCATGCACCAGTGACACGACGAAGCGCTTTTTGAGGTTTTGAAAAATTTGACTAAAGCTGACAGCGATTAGGGATTCGTTAAAACTTTTCGTCATGGCCTTGAATAATAGCAAACGTTTCGAACGCTGGTTTACCTGCTTCTGATGTATTGAGATGCAGATATAGTCGAGAGATGGCGAAATGCTGTAGGCATTAGCCAAATCGTAGTCGTCCCCCTGAAAATGTGCACCAGTGGCAGTGCAGGAAGAAGATTGGAACAAACGAAGATATTATACCCTCAGCGGCCACCTCAATACTTGACTCTCATCAGTCTCATTGATACTCGCAAGCCATATGGTGCCATTTTCGTCCTGGTAGGTGAAGTCATTTTCTACGAAGCAACATGATTTATTATTGGTGAATGCAAATTGTTTGCGATTACCTGTTATCCACTTAAAATTGCTCTGAACGCCACTCAGGTTGCCGGGAATAATGTCAGAGATCGTGAAAGGCTGCTTTGTGTCTTCTGTTGAGACGGATTCTAAAAAACACAGAAAATGAGAAACCCTTAGACTAACAGGTTGAAATTGAACTTTTGCCAAACGTAGCAGAAAACCGAACGCTAAGCGGTGAACAGCCAGCAGTGAGGGCAGTGATAAACAACAATACAGCATGAACGCAATTTGAAATACCCTTGTCACTAGTTCACTCGACCGTAAGTACTCTGAAATCTTCTAAAATGTGACCATCGTTCAAAGCTCTATTCATCACATTTATGCAGAGGTATAAACACCTCAGAATCTTAGACCGACTGCCACGCAGCCTTTCTATTCAACAAATGAAAGCAACGTCGAAACTTTCGAGTAACAGTTTTTATATGTTTATTCGTCTGTATTACCCAATTGAAACATTCTGGAAAGTTTTTCTTGTTATGTAACATAACTGTATAAAGAATGACGACTCTGGGGTGAAACCGAAGGATGCTCTGACAGATTGATCCTTCCTTAGAGGATGGTGGCGTTAGGAAATGAACAGCGAGGCGCTCTTCGCAGACTCGAAGATTCAACGCAACAACACTAATTTGACTTGTGCCGTATGTGATTATTTATCTGAACATAGGAAATTGTTTAATGTCGATAACCCATCTGAAGCATTGGTCGAAAAAATCAGCAACCACGAATAATTCTTTAAAGTTTGGCAGCTTTAGATGGCAAAACTGAGAAGCACTTCAGAAGAGCAAAACATTTTGTAGTATCTTTCCATCATCCGTCAATCCTCAGAACAGGGATACGACGCCTATTAATATTTGGCTGAAGAAAAGGAAACTGAACATATTATATTAAAAAACATACAGGTATAAACATGTACGTTGGCTTAAATATACAAAACCAGGAATTGCGATACCAAATGGTGCGTCGTAAACGCTCAAAACAGCTAGGGATGCTTCTTGCCCTTATAACTGACGCATGAATTTGACGCAATTATTTAAACAACAAAAAAATTCTCAATAATACTCAATTCAGCTCTCTTAGGGCGTATGACAATAATGTGTCTACATTAAGAACGAAAATTACCATTTCTTCTAAGAGATTTTATTGATATTCGATCCAGCACTGACAGCGACAAACAACCTATCGAATTAACTATTACAAAAAAGGCAATTTTCATATATACAAAATGCAATCCCGTTGTTTTGCGTTAGCTATCACAAGTTTTTTATTTATCATTGTTAAGCCTTATCAAATTATTACACCGCAAGAACTCGTCACTCTCATGCTTCCAGGCACCTAAGGGGGCCATTTGAGCAGGCCATGGCTGCATTATGGAGTCGGAACACTCCTGCTCATAATTTCACATAATTTCTATCCATGGTATTTGTGGTATTAGGCATGGCTGTTGTTGGTACCAATGGTGATTTGCTTTCAATCACTTCCTCTTTGCTCTTTAACGAAGCATGTCTCAAGCAAACCATGCAGCAACTTTGAACGGGAAAAGAACGTCTTTGTGACGTATGAAATGCAAAGAAATGTCTGATGGCGTCCAACTCTTCTCCAGCTCAGACTCACCAATACTTCACCGATGTTCACGCATATTTTGCTTTTCTTATAAAGACATGGCCTTATTGCTACCTTACAGGATGGGAAACCATACTACGGAAGGGACGTTAGTTCCAGCAGTATTACAATGTTGGTGATGCAGGATTGCTTGGCACCAAAAGCGAATTTATCCGACCTGGTGCCGGTTTCCATTTCCATTCGATGACTTACTATTGTTCTAACATTATAAAATTTTCAT